CAGCATTGGACTTATAGGGACTCACTGAAGGGCTTTGGGACTGTCTGCACATAGAGCTCCCTTGACAAGGGCATTGCCCTACGGGGGGCAGCCCCTGAAATTACATCTTTGTGAATAACTGTGGCAAGGAACAGCTCCACGGAGAGGCACAGTGGTAGGTGTGGGGCCTGCATGATCTGCAAGCTGGTTCTATGAAAGGGCAGAGCAATTCCTTCTCCAGGGTGACAGGTTGGACTTTCCATCAGTACAAAAATTCACTGAACTTGAACATAGGAAAAAAAACCAAACCCTCAAGATGGCAGAGGGGTAGGAAGAGAAAATAGAAAGGGAAATGCTGTGCTGTGACTTGTCAGAGCCCGAGATCTGGTGTGGCTAGCACTGATGTCTATGGAGTCATCTTTCTTGGTGTCTCTTACAGCTAGCTGGGCCTCTGACTATGAACAGGGAGTGCATAGGAGCCTGTGAGACTGGGGGGTGGGGGGTGCAAAGGGATGGAAATGCTATGAAGACAGCCATTTGGAGTCCCATGTGTCTGTGAAATAAAGTCCCTCACAGAATGGGGCAGAAAAATTGAGCAGTTAAGGTCAGAAACCACAACTGCTGCTGCACAGGTGACTGCCTGTCACATCCCAAGACATGGATTAGTGGGCATGAAACAGAACCGTGGCCTGGTAGCTCCTTTGACATTATAATGCCCCAAGCTAGAATCACTTCCCCTTCGCTGACACATACGCATGTCTCAGGTGCAGGGTAGCATCTCGCACAGCAGGGGGGGCAGGAAGTGAAGAACTCCTCGACAGTCAATAGATTCCAGAACCTGACAGTGCACATGTGGACTGTTGAAAATCTCTTGTGGGGACCTTATGATGAGGAATGCTTCCCAGCCTCTACCACTTCTCCCCGGAGGCTTTCAAGGCACTTTTTAAATAGTGACAAACTAGACTTCTCATTCCCTCTATGAGATAGGGAAAGTTCATCTCCATGTTACAAACGAAGAAACCATAGCACAAAGGAAGGGACACATCTAAGGATGGAGACAGTCAGGGTATGTCTACACTACACCTCGTGGAACCGGTAGTTCGGAATAGGAAGCCTAGTCCGAACTACCTAGTTCGAGCCCCGTGTAGCCGCGCTGCACGGGGTTCGAAGCAGCGGGGTTTTAAAAATGGCGGCTCCCCGCTTATGCAAATGAAGCCCGGGAAATTCAAATCCCGGGCTTCATTTGCAAGTGCGGTATGCCTACATTACCCTCCTAGTTCGAACTAGGAGGGTAGTGTAGACATACCCTCAGAGACAGAGCCGGAAATAGTCCTGACTCCTAGTCCCATGCATTAAAATAGAAGACCATGCTTCCACTCTGCAAAGCCAAACAGAAAGACTGAAGAACCTCTGAAGAGGTAAACCAGTTTCTCTGGGCCCTGAGACTCCCCTGAAAACAGTTCTCTGAAAATATCTGCACAATGGGCAGCAACAATCCCCAAAACGTACAGAATGTTATGAGTCATTAGGAAAGGAACAGATAAGAAGACATAAAAGATCGTAATGCCAGGGTCCCCACATGGTGGGGGGAAGGGAGAGGGAGTGAGGGATACACTTTACCAGGGCCTGGAGGCCCTGGGGGCTCAGTCCAGGCTATAAACTGTGGTATGTGTGTGAGAGGGGGCCCATTTTACAAGTTTGTACCGGACCTGAAAAATTTAAGCTTAGACTGCGCATAATACCACTACATAAATCTATGGTATGCCCATACCTTTGAATAATGTGTGCAGCTCTGGTTGCCCCATCAGAAAAAAAATAGCAGAAGTGGAAAAGGTACAGAAAATGGAAATAAGCAGGGGTTTGGAGCAGCTTCCACAGGGGTGTTCAACTTAGAAAACAGACAATTTAGGGGGGATAGCAGAGAGGTCTATAAAATGGTATGGAGAAAGTGACTAAGGAAGTGTTATTTACTCCTTCTTATAACAACACAAGAACCAGTGCTCACATAAATGAAATGAATAGGCAGCAGGTTTAAAACAGACCAAAGGAAATATTTCTTCACATAATGCACAGTCAACCTGTGGAACTCCTTTCTAGGGAATGTTATGAAAGCTGAAACTGTAACATGATTAATTCCCCCCCCCCCCACCAAATTTTTAAATGGGCCAGGATGGTCAAGGATAAAAATCCCATGATCTGCTGTCCCTAAGCTTCTGACTGCCAGAAGTAAGGAGTGAACAACAGGGGAAGGATCACTCAAAACCATCTTGTTCTATTCATTCCCTCCGAAGCCCCTGGCAATGGCCAGTGCCAAGACAGGATACTGGACTAGATAAACCATTGGTCTGACCTAGTAAAGCCGTTTTCATATTCTTATAAAATAATATTTGTAATGATCCCCTTCATTGCTGAGACTCCAGCATTACCCTGCTGGCTGACCCAGGGAGCGTGAGACAAACCCTGCCTCAAAATCCATCCACCTGGCTAGGATCCTGGTTCAGCAAAATGAGGAGCAAAGGTTTCAAAATTAAACCACTGGGTTAAATACTGAACACAGTATGAGTTGTTAAGCTTTGCAGTGGTTGCAGCTGAAAATGCCCTGGTATTTATCCCTTGGCACAACCACTCACCTGGGAGTGGCCGTCGGCCATGACTATTAGCCCCGCCCCTTTAGAAAAATGGAACAGAGGGTTTCATGCCAGGCATGGAGGAGTTCAGATATTCAGGCTTGTGTAGGGCACGTAGAGCAGGAAGTTATTCAGAGTTAAAGACAACAGGAGCCAGAGAGTGATTGTTACATATTACACACATAGGCTATATATGTATTGGTTATTGGCAATCTGGTTTCTAACCTCCAAGTGCGTGAAACTTAAACACCCCATCCCCTCCCGCTGGATTGCTGTTGCTGTATAACCCCAGCACCTGCCTTTGTAACCATGCCCCATCATGCATGCATGGCTCAACATCATTACTGTCATATTAGGCAAGGCGAGAATATACATGAAGAAATAATTATATTAATTGACACTCCGCATCTGTAAATTAATCACCATTATGTGTGCCCTGGATCAGGCTGCCATGGGCATTAATCACCTCATCTTTGCCTTTCACTCCAGAGAGCTGGGCATTCAGGAGGGAATTCAAAGAGGAAGGAAGGAGAGTTAAGGGCAGAGAGAAGCACTCTGCTAATCTGAGAAGACAGGTGCTCCAAAGGGTGGGGTGCCATTCTGGGGTATTAGCTTTGCACCATGGATACAGAGCCACCAGCTTTCATGATCATATTGGCTATTTTTATGCTGCTGTTATTTTTTTGGAAAAAGTTACGCAAATTGTGAACCGCAATTTGCGTATTTTTTTCCGAAAAAGGCCTTTCTGATATTTGGCCTGTCTACACAGGGCCAAATGTGGGAAAAACCTCCTCTTTTGAAAGCCCTGTATTCCTCGTTTTATGAAGAATAAGGGCTCTTCTGAGCATGCCCGCTTTTTTGGAAACTGATCTGAAAAAGCAGATGTGTTCCTGGACGTGGCAGAGGTATCCCGGACAAAACTCTATAGTGTAGACATAGCCATTGATAACCATCAGATATCCCTGGAGGAACTGCAGTACTTGCTTACATGGTAAGTACCATGAGGAAAATATTGAATTCTTTTAATTCATTTTCGCAGCTGGATACAAGGAGGATAATCCTGCACTATGGGACAAGCCTGGTGTCTGTGGACTGCCAGCCAATGCTCTGTTGACAGGGCGACCTCTGTCCTAGCACTTATACCTTGTCAGGTCTCCTGTGATTCAGTTAATAGGGCTTCCACTAAGGATGTTAAGAAGCAGATAATTTGCTAATCGTGTAGTTGATAGCATTTTTATCGACTACATGAATAGTCGATAAGGAAAGAAGCGCTCAGTTCCGGCTCACGATGGGTCCAGGAGCTACCCCCTGCTGCGGCTCTCTCTTTAAATGTAGTAAGAACCAGACGGGTAGGCAGCTACTACATTTAAACTGCAGAGCCGCAGTGGGGATAGCTCCCAGACTCGCGCCAGACTGCCTGCCCGGCTGGAGCAGCCCCTGGTAGAGGCAGCAGTGTGGGGGAGAGGGACACCTCAGCACCTGCTCCTGCTTCCACACTCTCCCTCCCCTGCTGATACTGATACAGAGGCAGCAAGACAGGAGGGGTGGAATGCGAGTAGTCTAGGCTTAACGGTTAGTCGGCTACCTGCTTACATTCCTAGCTTCCACCCCTCTCTCCCAGGGGAGAGGATCCCACCACTAATTTTAACCCACTGCAACCTCTCTAAACAATCTTCTCTCAAGAGCTCTGGGCACCATGCTATTCCAGGGAAACACCTGGGGCCTGATTATTCTGAGATGCTGACACAGTGGGTGCTCAAGGGACATGATGGGTGCTCAGTAGCTAAGAAAAATCAGGCCCTGCAGCCAGTTCCTAAAAGCTTTGAGGTGGAAGCGTGTCCCTCAGAGGGAATAGCTGGAAGAGAAATGACTAGACAAAAGGACAATGCTGGGCCAATAAAATAAGGAATAAGGAGCGTGAGCATTTGCAGGGAAAGAAGACCAATACTGTAAAACGTTCTCCAACGCCCTGCAGGGATATCGGGCAGCTCCCTTCCCAATTCAGACCAGACAGGGGTAACTTTGAAAAACCCAGACCTTGTGGGGACAATGCTGATACCCCTCCTGGTGGCAGTATGTGGGTAAAGTTAGAAGAGCTGTGCTGGAGGTCATACGCACACCAGGTGTGTGGGGGACACATTTCTTTGGTATATTTCTTCTGTCGACATGAAGAGCTACAACAAAGAGTATTTGTCGGTGGAGTGAACTTTCAGTGCTCCTACATTTCATTCTGTTTCAGGGGAATGGACCTGGCAAAGCCACCTCTGCCACCCAGCACCCCTGGCATGGCTGCATCTCTCCATTCTCTCTGGCAACTCTGGTAGCTGCTGGGGCAGTCCCAGGCAACTAGCGCTCAGTGAAGTAAAAAATAAAACCAGAGGCCTTAGTGCTTACCTGCCGGATTGGGATAGTTAATCGCTGAGGAAAGAAACAGAAAACAAGAGAGTTTAGAACAGCATTTGTTTTCCCCATGGAAAAAACAAAACCCAGAATAAAAGCAATCCCAAACATTGAGAAATGTGGCTAGTGCCCAAATCACCCACAACTTCCTCACAGACTCTGAGCTGGAAATGGGAAGACACCAAGGTATGTGGGTTCACAGTTCTATTTTCAAAATGGAGACAGAAGCCCAGAGGCAAACCTTTTGTTCAAAGGGTGTCCCTGGATTTGTGTCTAGGCTGATTCTTTGGTGGAATTCTTTGGGAATGGGAAAGCTGGTATCTGATGGGGAAACCAAGACAGCTTGCTACCTGGTGGAAAACTGAGGTAGCCCCTAGGACAGGATCTGCCACCCTGCAGGAAGTCAATAAGGCCTAAGTGGTAGTGTGCAGCTAAAGGGGACTGGAATTTCTAGGGAAACTGAGGCACCACAGTGTCCCATAGGAATGGAAGGTTGTGCAGAATCACATGGAAATGGGATAGGTGGGTTGTTCATGCTGAATTGATGGGACTCAAACTCCTGTATGAAACTGAGAGGGCAACTATCCGACGGCATATGAAAGCAGGTTGGTGTCCTGCGGGGGGGGGGAGGGGAGCAGTAGCTGGGGGTCTGTCCAGTGGCCTGAGGAGAGAGGGTCCTGCGTTCCAGAGGGGTTAGGGCACAGCTCCAACACACTGGCCTCTCAGCTATGAAAAGATCTGTGGAATGAACTGCTTCACCCCTCCTCCCCAATCCCACCCTTCTTTGCGGCCAGTCTAGCTGGAGCACCCTGCCTGCTGCTGGTGGCCTAGCACGCACAGGTGCTGAATATCGTCCTCAGCAAAAGGGGCTGTGTGGTCTGACTGGGAACACTGAGCTGCGTACGACCGGAAAGCAAAGAACATAACAACGTCAGATGAATCCCACCCTCTGCCCTCCGGTGTTTGCATGAGGTCCCGTGGTGAGGAAAACTGGGAAGTGATGGCACTGCCTCACCATAACACAGTTTCACCACGAGACTCCCCCTGTGATCACCACTCTAGAAACAACCCCACAACTAACCCCTCCCCCTAGAAAGGGACCCTGCCACTGCTGCCTTGGGTGGGAAGTCGGAGGAGATACCTACGTTCCAGGTACTGGATGATGCGGGCAGCCATATCACCAGCCCCAAAGTTTGTGAAGGGTGTCAGGCGGACCTCATAGCTCTGAGGAACTTTCAGGTTGTGCAGGGTGTGCTCCAGTAACAGGCCTTTCTCCATCTTCTTCACAGGAATTACCGTTTGGACAGTGCTCCTCTGGTTCAGCTGCAAGGGAGAAATAAGAGCTCATGAAATCAATGTTAACAGCATCCAGACAACGAGCAACTGAAAGACTCTGTGTGACATCTAGACCAGGCTTCTGTTCCCTCCCAGCCAGGCAGGGTTGCTCCTTATAGTGAGGGCCCTGGATCTACTGCCATGGCAGTAGAAGTCACTCCTGGCCACAGACCTGTGCTCCGGAATCTCAGCTTTCATTCAAAAGAAAAGAAACGTGTACCCTTCTGGGTGGGAAGATAACCTTGAAAATGCAACTGAGTGCAAACCGACGCCTACCTGACAGCAAAACCTGAATCACTGGTTCTAAGAACAGTCCCATTCTTCTCAGTCAGGACCCATGGATGCCATAACTCCATGCCCATGGAATATGGCTTTTCCACAACAGGGCACAGAACTCAGCATTTTGTCGGCAGATTTCATTCATGGCTGCAGCAAGACGCACTGAGCATCAGGTCACCCAAACATCTCTATTGGATGAGCTTTACAGGTCAGTTGGGTAAGCCCAGTACTCTTGGTTTGGCACCATAGTTTCCCTTCTCCCTTCTTAAAGGAGGAAGAGGGACTAGAGACACTTAGGAAAATGAAAAAGGAGAAAGCACCTAGATCAGATGAAGTCACTGGAAAGGGACAGTATCAGGAATTTTACAAGTCCATGCCATGATCATCTGAAGAAAGGGAAAATGCGGAATGATATAAAAGCTTTGTAGCACCCATGCTGCAACCTAGAGGAGATGACGTTGTGTGCTAATTATCGCCCACGTAAGCACACATCACCTGCTGAAAAGGGATTGGAGAAGATTACTGAAAAGCATCTGAGAGGAACAGTTACAATGTGAAAGGGCTAGCATGGCTTTAGATGGAGAGGAACACAGGTGGTGTCATATTTGTTCTATGAATCCCGATGGAAACATTCAGGCTACGTCTACACTGGCACCCTTTTCCGGAAATGCTTAAAACGGAACAGTTTTCCATTATAAGTATTTCCGGAAAAAGCGCGTCTACATTGGCAGGATGCTTTTCCGGAAAAGCACTTTTTCCGGAAAAGCGTCCGTGCCAATGTAGACGCGCTTTTCCGCAAAAAAGCCCCGATCATCATTTTCGTGATCGGGGCTTTTTTTGCGGAAAAGAAATCTGTGCTGTCTACACTGGCCCTTTTCTGGAACAGTTTTCCGGAAAAGGACTTTTGCCCCAATGGGAGCAGCATAGTTTTTCCGGAAAAGCACTGATGATTTTACAGTAGATCGTCAGTGCTTTTCCGGAAATTCAAGGGGCCAGTGTAGACAGCTGGCAAGTTATTCCGGAAAAGCGGCTGATTTTCCGGAATAAGTGGCCAGTGTAGACACAGCCTCAGAGAAAAGAGATAGCAATCCGTGCTGGTCTGAATGGACTTGAAGAAGGCATGTGATTGTATGCTAAAAGAATTGCTTTGCAACAGAGAGATGTACTGGAAGGATATGGCCACCTTATCCAGGCTACGTACGATGGAGTGAGCACTGCAGTCAAAAACCCAAATAGGGCAACAGGAGTGAATGTTCAGTAAATGCTGGCTTACCCCAGAGATTTGCACAGACTCCTCTTTTTGTTTGCAGTTGTGTTGGGTGTGATCAGTGAGAACAGAGGAATGGAGCTGCCTTGAACAATGTTCACTGATAACTTCATGGTCTGTGCAGAAGACCACGTGATCCTACAAACCACCACTGAACCCGGGCAACACAGTTGACAGTAGCCAGGACTTAGAGTGAGCACTGGTAAGACTGAGGCTATGATAGCTGAGGGAGGAGGGCCTACCATAAAGGATAACACAGGCAGAAAGCTGAGGAGAATGAATGAATTGAAATAGCTAGGTGCTCACTGGGTGTTGACCCAGCTCCCATTCAGCTCGGCCCTCCTGGGGTGCATATGGCACCAAAGTGGATTGTTACAGTCCTGAGCTGGAGCTCACTGAAAGGGGGAGCCTGATGCAAAGGCTCGGGACAGCTCCTGCTTTAGGTCTGGAGTGCCGGCCAGCAAGGAGAAAGCAGCTAGGAAACAGGGACCATTTCCCTGTTCTAGCCCTTCCCCTTGGTAGAGAAACAGACAGAAAGGCAGGACTGGAGAGCAGCCTACAGCTGGAGCTATGCACACTTCTGGAAACACTGACTGGGGAGGCAGTGGGG